TATGGACTTCTGTTTCACATCGTCTTAATTGTATCAACAAATATTTTACCCATTTATTGAAAAAAAAGAAAGTAAATGATAGAATAATTCAACATTAAAACAAACTACAGAARGGTTCTGTCCAATTCCATTTAAAGCATCTGCACAGAATACAAAGAACTGTTGGTAAGAAAAAAATCTGAATTATGTACTTTGAAGTACTTAGGATCATAATAAACTGGGCATCATAATTTTTGATGCTGGGCATTTAGTGAAGAACTTTTGAGCACCTATGAAAAATTACAACTTACCATTTCTAACTCTAATATCCTGTAACTGAGCTCAGGAACCTTCTGTTACAAATTTTGCATTGCTTTATAGGGAGGATAATAGAATTCTTGAGAAAATAAGTTATATTCAGTTCTAACAGTATTTCTTCTTTGTTGTTCACTACATACTATTTAATATTTTCCTTTGTACACTTCTTAATAGTTGAGCTTTAAGTGAAACTGAAAAACAACATTAGGATTCAAAATACAGTGAAAGATTTTATTTTCAGGGTCACAAGTAGCATAGTGAGATTTCTCTCTTAAACAATGACACTTAGTATCTCTGTAGTTCTATGAATACTTTTGAAGTGTCATATTAAAACCAATCTCTCGGCCTTCAGGCAAAGAGAAGCAATTAGTCTTGGAGTTGTGAATAAATAAAAATCCATTTATATACCCGTCCTTGACACGTACCTTGCAATCTTAGAAACTTCATCTAGTGGGAAATGTTAAATCATGAACACCRATACTAATCATACCACGATGTTGCTTCCTAAAACTGTTTAGTTTGTATCAATCTTTTAAGTATTAATTCATATGTATATATTCATACATTTTGAAACAAAACAACAGAAAGGCACTCACACACTTGAGAAAAAAGAAATGAGAGCGTGCATATAGAGCTGTAACGCGTACCTTTATTACCTTCAACATTAACATAGGCAAGCAAAAACACAAAGCTCTCAAGTCCATTGTMCTTTCCTCATATACAGTAGAAACAATCCCACACAAGTTACGTACCATGCACAGGCTTTTTCATCCCAAGTACTACTGTGTCTTTGCTTTGATCTACAAGCAAACAAACAGACTGAATCTTTATTATCCGTGCATCTCTTTTCCATGCAGCACAATTAAATAGTGCCTGTCACAAATGTGTACGGATGAGTCAGATCACAATTTCTACTTTTTGTACAAGTGCAGTATTTTTAAGTCTTCTCTTTCCTCATTAGTGTGCCTCAGTGCAGAAGTATCCTATTTTTATGCTGCTCTGATTGCTGTTCGAGATTCTCATATTTATTTTTCATTTAGCAGTCAGTAATTCACAAAGGAAGTAAAAATTATGATGCCAAGTCAKTCCAAATAGTCTGCCCACACCCCTACAAAAAGGCTGAATGAAACTCYGGCTGCATGGCAGATCATCAGGTCTCAGTGGAACTTGTCCTCCCCACATCCACTTGTTGACCACAGTGCTGAGGAAATGTGCAACCATCAGGTGAAGCAGCTGGCTGGGGACACGCTTGTGTTCGAGGTTATTTTAGAATAAAATCCATCCCTTTGTGCCGTGCTCACAGAGGCAGAGTCCCAGCCTGCAGGTCAGAGGTGGGACCATGACCCCCACAAAGGATCRCACCTGGGCTGATGGGATGGTCAAGGAAAACAAATTTTAGTCTGTTCTGGATGCAAATCTCTCTGCTGACCTAGTTCTCATTCTCCTTTTCATTTCAGAAGCTCAGCTAAAAATCCATAAATTAAGGAAATTAACTGATGGAGCCTCCGGCATCTTTGTAAGCTATTTAAATCTTTAAATTTACAACATCTTCTGCATATATCAAGTAATTGAACTAACTGCAGGGATGTAACTTTAATGAGAAAATTTCCCTCTTCTCCTGTAGTTTGTACTCTAGAAAAAAAAAAAAAAAAAAAAAAAAAAAAAAAAAAAAAAGCTTCCCTTAGGAGAAAAGTTTCTGTTTATTCCTGCCACGGAAGAAAACTTCTACACCCCCTTAGTTTTAAAGGGTCCTTCCTGCATCGCGTCCCGGCTGCTTCGGGGCCGCGTTGGCCCAGGCCCGGGGGCGGGGGCGGGCGGGGAGCGGGGCGCTCCCGGTGTGACCTCTCGGGGCCGCGCAGCGTTGCGTAACGGCCGCGCGGCGGCGC